GACAGTCTCCCCCCAATTAGTCAGCTTCCCCTTCGTTTCCTCGCCTGAGAAAGTACAGATTCTAGCAACTTGCTTTAATGAAGAATCAGTTGTGCTGAATGACAGGGTTCAGTGTTCAAAGAGCAACGCTCCGTTTGCACTCTCTGGGCACTCCATTTGAGATGCCACGGTCTCCTGGAAGTGGCCCTGTCCCGACCACCCACGCCCTGCTTCTGGGCCTCCCCGCCACTCCGTGCAGCGGTGAGAAAGCGGGGCAGGGAGCGCCGTGGGCCGCGGGGCGTGTCCTCAGCACACACGTGACTAGCGTGGGCGGCCTGCGCTGAACAGGCGGGGGTGCTCCGCTATTCAAATTAAACTCAATTAACACCAGTATTCATCTTCTTCAAAGCCTGGAGCTGAAGCAGGGTGCCCCAGACCTAGAACAATCTCTCTGCAATCTCATCTTTCTGGGCTAATTATTTCCAAGAGTTTAAAATCAACATTTTCTAAGCTGTGCCCAACAAGAGTCAAGGAGGTTACATGGAAAAATCCTTCAATACCAAGAATATTTTCTTCTTCTAAAACGTATTAATTTTATGGCAGAAACATCATTTTCAATCGCCTGGACTGCTGCAAATCAACTTGGCTGTGGGAAGTGGCGAGGTGGCCAGGGCTGGGGGCCGGGAGCGAGGGCTCATCTGGCCGGCTCTGCCCAGTCCCTTCTGTGCAGCTGCCCCCTCTGTTCTAAGTGACCTTTAACCTCCTGAAATCTACTCTGCGTCGGACACATTCCAAAGATGTGCTTTATTTTCCCAAATTTTATCTAGATTTTTTTTTTAACCAAAGTAATACAAGCACATAGTTACACGCTACAAAAAGAAACGGAAAAGACATACAGTAAACTGTTGCCTTTTTTTTCTGCCTCTGACTCCAGTTCTCTCCCCAGAGGGAACTATTCTGTTTCCTGCGAATCCCTCCAGATTAGGTACTTGCTCACACACAAGGTAACAGAAATGCATCCTGTTTTGCACCAAAAGGCTGGTCTCCAGTAGTCCATCTGTCACTTTAAAAAGTGTAAGTGGGGCCCTCCCTAATGGTGCAATGGATTAAAGCCCAGCACTGTGAAGCTATCTGCAGCCACTGCAGCAAGAGTTCGACCCCCACATGGCGCGGCAGGCCTCTCCTGACCTACCCGCTGCACCCCTCAGCAGTGTACTTAGTCAATCTGCCTGGTCTGCTCCCCACACTGTCTCTGGCCTGTTCCCCAGTTCTTGTATGCATTAAAAATAAATAAATCTTTAAAAAGCCTACTTTTTTGACTCCTGCCAGCCTCTCGACCCACCCTGAAGGAGACCCTGGGTTGGTGCTGCATCCCCAGCTAGCGTGTTGGTAACATCCAGCCTCAGCAGCACCCATTTCCTCCCCAATTAACTGGCCATGGAATGCGAATTCTCAGCAGACAGTTGGAGGACGCTCATCGTTAGAGGGAAAGGTGTGAATCTTGCAGGGAGGGGGTGGGTGTGCGGGGCAAGCTCTCTGCCCAACTCCCAGGAGTTCTGGCAAGTCTTTCTGGGCAAAGCCCTGTCCCACGTGGAAGAACCACTGCACTGAAAGAGAAATTATCTGAAGGAAGCGTCTAGTGCAGCAATGCCTGAGAGAATCTCCTGCAAAGCGGAATGTCCCACACTCGGGCCAAACACACCATGTTGTGAAATGTGGCCTGTGCAACCAAGGAACTTACGTTCTACATCACTTTCAACAGCACATGGTGCCTAAGTAGCTACCGTCCACTGAACACTGGGCAGGAGGAAGAAGATGACAAAGCAAGGCACAACAGGAAATGCGTGTAGGGTGAGCTCAGTCGACGAAGCTTAAACTGCATCTCCTGAGTCGTCTTCACACACTCAAGCCTGAGCAGGCATTTCCAAAAGTAAATTTTTAGTTAAATTTGGAACAAGCATGGAAGCTGTGTTGCAATTACCTCTAAAATCTGAAATTAAAGCGGCTTGCATCTGCTAAATCGGTCTCATTACGCACTCTGCTTTACATTTTTCCTGGCGTGATGGTGCATGTGGATCATGCTAAATTAACAGTTTCCCTGATAGGTGAAAAAAACAAGTTGCAGGAGAGTCTGCACAATATTATGCCAACTCTCTATCTCGAGACACATCCATATAGATATACAGACACACACATTGGTGTGTGAACAGATGTCATCTGCAGCACTGGGACCCCGAAGGACATCCTGTGACGATGACAATGTTCCGTGCCTACACCAGTCTACACCTAGCCCCAGGTGGCTTCTGAGCACCTGATGTGTGGGTATGACGGGGACACCGAAGGGCTAATTGTCCTTCATTCCTGCTGACTTAAAGGTCAGCAGCCACAGGCTGAGCACAGCTTTTTTCTGGGAAGGTGAAAACGTCTGGGCCCCTGATGGTGCCAGCCCAGAACCATCCACTTCCAAGTGGACCATGTATGTTATATGACTTTCACCCCACTACAGACAGACAACAACCACGCAGAAGGTCAGTGGTGAGGTGATCATTCCATCACCCATCACAGAGCTGCACTGAGGGCCTGGGACGCGCTGGCCGGCCCCCTCTCTGTGGGTGGCAGGTGCCTATTCGTCTCACCTAGGACTGGGAACATCCCCCCTTCATAGCCTTGCCCTTTCCCCACGCTGCCCTGACCATGGGGGCGGGGGGGCAGGCCAGGGAGCCCACCCCACGCCAGGCGCAGCCTGTGCTCCCCAAGACGTCACACTTGTGATTCAGCCACAGATCTGGCTGCTGTTCGCAAGTATTTCTGCTCGTTATCTCTTCATCTTGTGCTGCTGCTCCCCACCCACACTCCCGAAGAAACTCACTCAGCATTCTTCCGGAATCTGGAGCTCTGTAAGTGCCTCCTTCCCCCTCGGGAGTGGAGAGAACGTTCCCAGGCCACTCTGGACACACTGCTCTGGCTCCAACTGGACATGGTGGCCGACAACCTGAACCGTCAGTGTGGCCAAATCACTGTGGTTGCTGGACACCGCCATCACCTCCTGTTCATGTGACTACTCTCCCAGTAAACAGCACCTCCCTCCACCAAAAACTCGGCCTAAACTACTGATCGGGGAATGACTGGCTTGTCTCTCTCTCCCACACCCTACTACCAATAGGTCAGCAAAACACGCCAGCTCTGTCTCCAGTGCCCAGGATGCGGCCAGCGCCTCCAACCCCCTTGGACCTAGCAAGTTCTCAGCTCCTACCCACTCAGCAAGCCCACGCCGCACTCCGCTCCTGGCCCCCAGCATCCACCTTGGTGACCTTGGAAAGTGAAAGTCCTGTTCTGATTCTGGTCCACAGTCTCCCACACCCCTGGGGATCAAACCTACCCTCCCACCAACTTGGGGCTTACACGAACAGATGCTTCTGCCCTGGTACTCTACAATCTCTACAATCTCATTTCTAAATGTCTTGTTCTGTCTGGGGCCTGTTCTGCTCCACAACGACTCTGACACCCACAGAGCTGCTCCCAATCCAGCCACCTAGCCCTGAGGCCTCTGAGCCTGCAGCTCCCAGTGGGGGAGTCTGTTCTGGAGCACCCAGAGCTATAGACTCTATGTGCCCCCGACCACAGAACCAAGGTCTCGAAGCTCTAATCCCCAAATTGGCAGCAACCTGAGGAGGGTCCTGGGGGGTGATCAGGAATAACAGTGGACCCTCAGGAGTGGGGTGAGGACCATTTATGAGCGGAAGGCTCTCTGCCGCTCTCTCCTGCAGAGTACAGGTACAAGGTCATCTGAATCCTGAAAGGGTCCTCATCAAGAACCCAGCCGAGTTGGCACCCTGATCTCAGGCTTCCAGCCTCTGGAACTGACAAATAACCCTGCCACTATCTCCTCTTCTAGATGTAAGGCACTTCAAATCTCCAACCTGTGATGAAAGTTGAGGTGGGTTCTATCAAAAGTAATGGGGAGAAATAAAGCGCTTTGGTGAGAATATGCTACGCATGATGGTCACAGGTGCAGTAAATGCATCATCAACGCAATAAAGCAGCATGGTGTTCAGGCCGAGCAAGGATTCCAGCACCCCACACCCCACAGCAAGCGCTTGCAGCTAGTTCATTCTGCGCCTCCTCGCCACAGGCTCAGAGCCCATACTCCGTCTGTCAAGCAACCATGACTATGTGTGAATTCCACAGCTGACGGTCAACCAGGCGATGTCAGCGAGCGAAAGAACTGCACTCACAGCACAGGGCAGCAAGAGCTTTGCAGCCGCCCCACTAAACAACTTGCCGGTGAGCAAGCTCTAGTCGGTGAGTCCACCTCTCTGTAAAGTAAGGTCCCGTGAGCAATTTACAGGGTGCTCTAAGCTCACCGGAGGCTCCCGCAACAAAACATTCAGCACAGACTTCGCTATTGTGCTGGGGTCACCCTGCCGATGGTTTCTCTCATCCTCTGTATCCCCAAACGGCCAATTCTAGAACTAAGCAATTTACCCATCAATGAACAATGTTGATTTAATAGCCATAGTTATATGTGAGAGGCAGAGAGATAAGGAGAAGAAAATAAATACGGGATGAGCAACGAGCCGCGCAGAGGAAGCCGCGTGGGCCACAGCCCTGGCAAGGAACGACAGAAAGCCAGCAGCAGCCCTCGAAGGCGGGTCAGAGAACCAGCAACAGGGCAGACCTGAGGCCCACGGAGGAGGGGAGCGGGGGGCAAAGTGTCACCCCCACAGGCCTGCAAATAGTATGGTGAGGTGCGCTAAAGCCCACACTTTTAGACCTGTAAAACTGACCCAGCTGGGGAGTCCTGGTCATTTCTAATCTGAAAAATGCAGATCAAACTTTCCCCTGCATGTACGTGGACCTGAGCCTTGGGGACACTTTCTGAGCGTGCAGAACCGCTCAGCAGCCGAGGGGAGGGATGGCTACTTGTGTGCCTGTCTGGCGTGGCATCTGGCTACGGTAAGAGCCGAGCGCTCGCTTCCACGCTAGCTCTCCTGTACAGCTGGAGAGTCAAGGGCCCGGAAGCTACAATAGATCCCAATTTTCCTCCAGCAGAAGCCAGAGGACAGCAGTTTAAAAAGGTTTCACTGACTTGAACAGAAAATAGACGTCTATACTTGCCTTTAGACAGCTGTCAGTCGGCAGGAGATGAAACCAGCAAAGACAGGTAAGTCAGAACAGCACAGGAGGTGGAAGAAGAAGAACTGGAAAGTCATCAGCTCCCAGACGCCCGGGACAGCGGTGGGCTCCGTGGTGGCAGGTGGGACAGAGTCCTACTGCACAAGAGCAGCATGTGCCAGGAGAAGTCTGGAGAGAACAAAGTCGCCGTGGAGATGGGGCCCAGGCAGACAGCCAGGGTAGCACAACGCAGCATGGCAGGGCAGTGCAGGAGCGGTGTGCAGAACCTAAGTGGCCTGGTACTCGTCTGCCCAGCCGGGGAGAAGTGGTCAGGATAGGTAGGGGTTTGGCAAACATGATCGAAAACGTGGGCTATAAATAAGGAGGAAGGCGAAGAAATGAGAGAGGGGAAAAGGGTAAAAACAAGAGGAGTGCAAAGCCAAGCAGAGGGGGCACAGCAAAGTGGCTTGACACGGCAGGAGTCCGGCGGTCTCAGTGAGAGCACAGGAAGGCCGGGATGACTTTGCGGGATCAGGGGGACGGACGGGAGGTGTGGCCAAAGAAGGAGGTGTGGCCAAAGGGGAGGTGTGGCCAAGAAGGGGAGGTGTGGCCAAAGAAAGAACCTCCTGCTCACGGCTCTGCGCAGTGAGCAACGTCCAGGGATTGGAGAGCTGAGGGGAGATGTGCGGCTGGGGGCATGGCGCTCAATGGAAGTTCCAAAGCACCATGGTCAGGGCAGTAGTGGGCCACCCAGTGGGGCTGGGGCAGGACAGACATCAGTCCAGAGTGGGGATGGTGGGGGAGGAGGTAGCCGCTACCTGGGGGGTTATGCACACACAGCCAGGCTGTTACCTGCAGGCGGAGCAGCCCAGCTCCCAGCGAGGGCTAGAGCAGTCTGTCTGGAGGGCGCGGCCGCTGCCACCTTCTCAGCAGTGTAACAGCTGATGCACCCAGTAGGCAGCTCCGGCCAATTTTCAGACTGGAAGACTGAAGTCCATGCTCCCCATGCTTCATACAAAATGAGCACTGGCTGACCACCTTGATAAGTTGACTACCTCGATCGACAGGTTTTCCCCTACAAAACCTCGGTGTCCGGGAAATTCATCTCAGAATGGATCACAGGGCTCCCGCACTGTGCCCAACACTCAAGCATCTGAGTAAATTCCTACTCTATTCTCTTAAGACTTTCTCACGCCACGTCGTATCATCATCTTACACTAATTAGAAACAAAGATTTTCTCAAAAATTGGACAGCTGTGTCCTCGTCATCCCCGGTTTGCTTGCTCCCCTCCTCCAGTATTCTGTAACTGACTCAACGAACGGGTGATACGGATTTTGGTGTTACTGAAGAACGTTCCTGAGGAAACTGGGCTCTTCCTGAATCGACATGTTCAGGCTCTGCCCTCTGGGGAACCGTCATTGACAGCCACACCTCTAGTCCCCAGTTTCCCCAACAAGGGGGGCTCCCCCATCCGGTGGCGCATCCCAGAGATAGCATTTTCGGTGCAACTAAAACAAGATGTATGACCCTGCACAATACTTGACCTCTTTGGACCTTCATTTGTCCATGTGTAAAATAGAGACAACAATAATGAGAACTCACAGGGCCTTTGTATTGATCAGTGATTCAAAGCTAATGCCTTACAAGGCACTTTCAGGCACTTAGAACAAACAGTGCCTGAAACACAGCACGAGAGAGGCATTTTCTATTCTTATAGCGATTATTTATGTGCATGTCTCTCCTTTTGGACTTATTAGCACCTTTAAAATAGACCAGCTCTTAATTTGTGTCTCCCCAGTGCTACCTGATAGCAACTAGTAAACTGGACATACTCGGTGAGTGAATGCATGAAGCACTTTGACAAATCAACTGTCATCTCACTGAAAAAAAAGTGGAAATGTGGATATTGTAAATAAGAATGTTATATCTATGGTACTGTCCATCTTGTTTTAAAATAATTTAAGGCCCTTCCTAAAGTACAGCCTGACGTTTCAAATACATATTGAAGGAAGCAATCAGGCCCTGCCTGGTGATGCAAGGGTTCCCCAGCCAGGGCACTGACCCACATGGGGCAACAGAGAAATCTCCAGACCTGCTTGCTGCTTCCCTCAGCAGTATATTTCAGTATAGCTGCCTTTTGTGCTCCCCACTCTGTTTCTGGTGAATCCTCTCACCCTCCGCATCTCTGTACTCCAGTTCCTGTATACAAGGATAAATAAATCTTTTAAAAAAAAAAAAACAAAGGAAAAAGTGAACTGCATTCACTGTCATGGCTCAAAGAAGTCAAGGGCAAATGGACTTTGGAAGGTTTAAGTACAATGGACTCTGAGGATGAGACAACGTTCACTTTTGCTATAGGGGAGAAGTCCTAGATCAGGACTTGCTAACATTAATTCCTTTCGTGGACCTGGGAACCTAGTGCAGTTACTTAACCCACCACATTTCTGCAGCAGGAGCATCTCAAAGCTGCTGTCTGTGGAAGGAAATCGACTAGCAGTCCCAGCACTAATTCAACCACTGTGGCTCTTAGCTGGCATGTTGGTAAAACCCACACATGTGAAGAGCAGGAGGGAGCCACCCCCCTTTTCCTTTCTCCCCTCAGAAAGTCATTTTTGAATCTCAGCTTCCACAGAACATCTGATCTGGGAGGACTGCACACCCTCCTTAATGTTCACACTGCTGATATTTTAGTATTCTGGTTCTGTTCGGGCAGTCATACCACTGATGAAAGTGAGTCTGTCACATAACGCTCTCACTGGTGCATGCAAACAAGCCACCTTTTCATTAAAATGGAATTTAGTACAAATCCAGGTCAAACAAAGTCTGGGAGAAAGGGTTAGCCTATCCTGCAGGTCACCCAAGTGGGACCTACAGAGAAAAGATGACAGTGGTAGCGGGATATCGCAAGCACAGGTGGGTCAGGAGCACCTCCTTTCTGCTCACTGTCCCCCACACTGGCATTCAAGCCACAGAGTGCTGCATTTCAGCTCCGGCCAAGGGGGACAGAACCAAGCAGGCCATCTGGGCACATAAATCCAAGCATGCACACTGGAAGAGGAAATGGGATTAGTAGACTTCCCTCCTCCCTACATGGGGGTGTCTGGGGATGGTGATGAGCTCAGATTCCAGCACATGGAAGGGAGCTAATTCTCCAAATCACCTCACAGCTAGTGAAGTCACTTCTAGCAGGATGTCCTCTTCTGCCTTTCCACGGAGGCCAGCGATGCCACGTATGTACAGTGTTAAATGGTAACACCCTTCAGTAATTGTATTTCCCATAATGATTAGGCCTTTTCTGTTTGCTTATTTTAAGTGAAAACATGAAAGCTGAGGTCTCACTCTGACAAGAAGTGCATGTGAGGATTAAAATTTTCAAGCACATACCTCTTGGTTTCTCATCCTTTAATGACTGCACACACGGTTGCCTAGGAAACTCCTGGCCGAATGAAGGCTCACCCGCTTGTCATTCCCAAGCTCGCGTGTCTTACTCATCACCTTCGCTCCCACGAAGTCCGTCCTCCTGACTTCTTAGAGGCAGAAGTCTCTGCAACCTGCCTGACAGTTTTAAAAGGGAGAATTGTTTATTTTAATTTTGCACATCGGCTTCTAATAGGAATAAAAACCAAAGAGGCTAAGTCTTTATTCACATCGAAAATAGACAAAAAATGCATTTTTTTTTAATACACCCACACAACCTACACCAGGTAACTGTGGAGTATTATTTCTATCCTGCCAGTGATTAAATGCTACAAGCAAAGAGACGAGAAAAGACCCTACAATAGTAAGACCTCAGAGACACAAAAGTAGAAAACAAAGGTGTGTGGCCACCCCCGGCCAAGCCACTGCAGTCATCACTCCCAGGTCAGTCTCCCTGGTGTTTCTTGCAACCCAGCCATAATCACCGCATGGCCTGGACCACGCAGACTGACCGCCACCTGCCCACAGGTAGGTCTCCTGGGGCAGGCGCCCCTCTGAAAACTCGGTCCCACCACAGCAGACACTATGAAGGAGGCCTATGATCTTCTGAGGAAGAGCCGATTGTGAGGCAAGTCCCACAAACCAGAGCAGTCAGAGGGCACCAGCTCTGAACTGGTGCTGGCATCGGAGGACAGAAAGGGGGATGGAGACCAGAAGACAGGGCCAGGGCACAGCAGCCCACAGCAGGGCCTCTGCACCTTTCCCTGAGTTCTTGTGACAGTCCAGCTGCTTCCACTGACACCTTTCCATTGTCACCACAGCCAGAACTGACTTTTTTTTTAACTCTAGTAGACTACGCGTACTTCCACTTTTGCAAGTTAAAAAGCAACTGCTGACTTCCAATTCCACCCCACCCCCTCTTCTTCCTTGTCTTCCCCGCAGCAAGGCTTCGGTCTCAGAGCAACACCTTATGAGGGGGCTCGGGGGAAGGAGGCGGCCATCTTATTCCCCCACCATCCAGCTCTGGGCTGCCACTAATCCTCTCTTCATGCTGATGGCTGGGCTTTAAAAATTCCCTCAATGGCTCCCTATTGCCCTCAAGACAAAGATCCAAACTCCCCTCAGTTTAGGTTAGAAAGCTCTTCACCAGCAGATCCCTGAAAATTTGATGGCTGGCCATTGTGGTCTCACATCTGAAACAGACCACGCCTAGAACAGAACCACAGGGCCACAGCAGGAAGGGTGCAGCAGCATCCAGATCTCACGCTCCTTTTTCTTCTCCCCTAAATGTTATTTTCTTTTAAAGATTTATTTATGTATACAGAACTGGGGTACACGCCAGAGGTGCAGGGCGGGTGGGAGGATTCACCAGAGACAGATGGGGAGCAGAGCAGGCAGATCACAAGGTATACGCTGAGGGGACGAGTAGGTGACTGACCCTGGAGAGGTCTGCTGTGCCGTTTGGGTCACCTCCGGGGCTGGGGATTGAACTTGCACTGAAGCGACTGCTTCTCGCTTGCAGTGCTGTGTCCTAACTCATTGTACCACCAGGGAGGCCCCCTAGCTGCTATTTTCTAACAGACTATAAGGAGATTAAGAAATTGCGTAGGGGTCCTCCCTGGTGGTGCAGCTGGTTGGAGAACTGCACTGCAAAACTAAGCCAAGCATGGCCGCTTCATTGTGAGTTCGATCCCCACCCAGGGGGTGACCCACATGGCGGGGCAGACCTCTCCTGACCCACCTGCTGCTACCCTCAGCAGTGTACTTTGTAGATCTGCCTTTTCTGCTCCCCACTCTGTTTCTTGTGAGTCCTCTCGCTGCTCCTGCACCTCTGGCCTGTACCCCATTTCTGTATGCATAATAAAATCTTAAAAAAAAAAAGACTTGTGCAGGAAAACCCTACCTTCTAGCCAGCTGACAGTTTTTCAACAAGAGTCTAAAGATGTTTAACAGGACACTCTTCAATGATTTAAACACTCAATGATGAGCTCATCACTCATTGTTCCTCTAACATACCCCTGCCAAAATGAGTCATCCTCCCATACCCACCAGGGACCCCTTCCCTTGCATGGCTGAACTGTAACGAGATGCCAGCACGTGCTCACAAGTGTCTGAGTAGCTGCCTCCCAAAAGCCTGACCTCCAGCAGGGCCTGACACCCTGCCATTTCCTGCACCTTCCATGGTCTGCTGCGCCATGTGGGTCCGGGATTGAACTCGTGCTGCAGTGTCTGCGCTTTAACCTGTAGCAACACCAGGGAGGGCCCAGTTCCATTTATTTCTGTATCCCAGAGCCTGGCCTGAAAGAGCACCCAATGAACAATTGCTGAATGACCAAATGTTAGTACCTAGGATGGGCTTCCGCCCTCAGGCAAACACATTACCTCCCTGTGTGCAACTCACTTTTAGAAACTCTGAGTTTGGGCCACATCAAAAGTTAAAGAAGGTAACTTGACACTGGGACTGTTACTCCTGCATCTTCATGTTAAAAGAGTCAAATCTGAAAGACATCTCCTGGCAGAGAGAGCCGCTGTGCAGCCTGGAAACTGTCTCTGGGCTGCAGCGTGGCTCTGAGGAAACCCCCTTTGCACTGTGAGGCCTGAAGTCCCCAGAGCAGCCCACCCAGCACCTTCCTGAAAAGACAGGAACTTGCAGAATAACTCTAGAGCCCTGAGGCGTGCCGGACAGTCTCAGAGAGGATGCAGCGTTTAAATGTGTACATGGTCCTGAAGTTCTAGAGCCAGAGAAAAATGTATGGTATAGAGGAAAAGCATGATTTAAAAGGAGGAACAGAAGACAGAGTCCGTTTAAAGCGCCCTGACAGGTGCTGAGTCTTCTTGGCACCCAAGCATAAAATTTCTATTAGCTAAGTTTGGGGGACACCAGGGCTTGAAGATGAGCCAGGAAAGCTCAAGGAAAATTCTTGTGGGTCTGCTGTCCTCTGGGTGGGACATTTGACCTCCAAAAATGCCTTGAGAGAAACTCAGTCTCTGGCCCCCCCGCACACCCTCCCCCCCTCCCCCACCACCCCTCTCTTGAGCTGATTCTGGGAAGGAGCCCCACTGAGCACAGGACGGGTGCGGGAGGACCGGGCAGCGGGACCTGGGGTTCTGCTTCCTGTGCTCCAGCTCAGAGTTTTCTTCTTTGTTCAGAGAACTTCCACTTGGTTCATGGTCCCAGGGAGCCTGCAAAAGGGGAAGTTGATGGCAGGCTCCCGGCTGCTTGCAGGGGCACCACACGTTCTAGGGGAAGTGGAAACAGAACTCTGTCCCAAGGGGGAGGCTCTACACACACGCTCAGTGCAGGTGGGGCGCAGTGGCGCAGGTGGGGCCCAGGGGTGCAGGTGGACTGCCCCGTGACTTCACTTTCTCACGGTTACCAGCCGAGCGTGGTGTGGCATGGCGCTTCTCCCTGGTCTGGGAGCAGCAAACAGGTCCCCCCAACGCCTCCACATGTCTCTTCTTCTTGAAGATAAGTCAAGCTCTTAAGAAACCAGCCTGGATGTAACTGCAGGAAGCGTGCGAGTTAACCCCAGGAGAGGAGCCCCGAGGCTCTGTAGATGTGGTGATCCTTGCTGCAGAAGGAAGAGGCAGCGCCTAGCCAGAGAGCTGGCGTTTGGTAGGTCTCTTTAAGCTACCAAGTAACAACACATTGGTTTTTTATATTTCTTTTTAAACTGCTCAGCGGCTCTCATTCTCGCACATCCCTACTTAGAAAAAGGAGTGAGTAATATTAAAACAAAGTAACGGCACACAGCGGACAGCCCACCCACACCCCCCAGCAAGGCGCCATCCTAAGGTGCTCTCTGTTCACATCTATGAAAACTTCAGAAGGACTTATTACAGCACATGTGGGAATCCCCTATTTCAGTTTAGGAATCTTTTAACAGACTGAAAGTAGATTTGAGGGGCCGAGGGAAGGATTTCCCCTGTGGTTGATTAAAAACATTCTTCTTTTTTTGAGTTGTCATACCAAGTGACCAGGAAGTGAGCAGAAGTCCTCTGAAAAATATATTTTTTGAACTTTTCCCCCCTAACCAGACTGTAAGATTGAAAAAGCCAAAATACACTCACACTCATTTCTTAAACAAGTTCGCCACCATAAGAAGGAACACGAAGTGCTAGGTGTCTGAAAATATCCTTCCACCAGTCCCCCGTAATGACACGCCTGCAAATGTGGGCCGGACGGACCGGATGGGTCATGTCTGGCTTCTGCATGTCTATCACAAGGGTTGTTGAAGCCCAAGTCCCCTAAGGGCTGTAGTATGACGATTCAATGGACCGAAACACTAGATTTTGGGTTGTTTCAAGGACATCCCCTTGACAGGCTACACCAGTCTTCAGCGACAGAGCACGAGACTCATCCAGCTTTAAGATAACTTTGCACACAGAACGGTCTCCAACAAGTTGATGAGAATAAATACATTGCAGTGTTTATTTGATAAGCTTCAGTATGGATGAAATGTTCTTCTGCTAAACTTCTTCCCCCAACAGCAAGAGGGAAATGAGACTTCCTTATGCTAGAAGAAAAAACACAAGCTGTGCAGCCATCTGAGCTGAATGGAGGCGCCCATGTGGCCCGGGATGGGGATTTAACATAAAATCCATGAACCCAACATAGATGGACGGGAAGAAAGATTCAACGCAGTCACCGACGACTCCAAATCCAGCCTGGGTTTTCATTACCCTGAAGGCTTTCAACACAGATGCGTGCATTCAAAGCACCAAAAAAATAAACAGCTCTGTGGTTTACACAGGGTACAGACAGGTAAGACAATTCACAAAACCATCCAACCCAGCCCCACTGTTGTCTACAGCCCCTCGGCTACACCCAAGTCACAGCAAGGTAGCCGTGATGGAGAGGCGGGGCCAGTACTGCCCAGCCAGGGAGGCTGGGTGCCCGGGCCGACACACTCCTGTCACACACCTGATAATGTCACCTGGCCTTCTGTGTCTTCCTCTCAGGAGCCAAACCCCCTTCGGCTAATGAGAGAAAAATCCAAACTGAGGGAGTTCTATGAAACAGCCAATCAGGACTCCTCAGCCACAACAAGGTCATCACAGAGGCAAGGCAAGAACAGTCACTGACCAGAGGAAACCCAGGGTCCTGACAGTAATCAGGGAGCACGCTGGGCTGGCTG